GTACATATGGAATCAGTGTATAGTTTAAAACTGAAAAGTGATGTGAATATTTTACTTTCAAAATTTCATTAATAAGCAAATATATACTAACTGAGAACTGCAAACATGCACTGAGTGAGAATTAAATTAATTACAAAGATTAAAAAGTGCGAGAAAAAATTTGTAAACGAGCTGCCAAATAATATAACAATAAAGTACCACTAAGCAACAACAACTTTCTATTGAAATTTGATTATAGAATCTATGTACCAATGGTGATTTATAAAAGTAGCATCAATTTTAAAATTGATAAAACACGTATAACTTAGGTAGCACACAGTACTAAGCAAAATACAAAAACTTTTGGGAAATTTTCTTGAGACTGTTGACATCATGGAACTATTCCTTTTCACAAATTGGTCAGAAATAAAGGTAAATATGTCACTGAGTACAGTTTAGAATATAAGTTCAGAAATGAACACCGAACCATGCGCGATAAAAACCGAACGACCTTGTGAAAAGCACACAATGTCGATATGAAAAATTCAAGACAATGGACAAGCTCCCACTGGGTATAGGTTAGAATTTTAACAATAGGTACGTGAATACCTGTTGAAAAAATGCCGTTACAAAAAATCAAGGATGAGACGAGGTAAGAATTTATATTGATATTTTCAAATCCCAATGATTTCTCGAAATCTTTTAAATTTGTCGTCAAATAGAAACAATTTCCAAGAAATTAAAAAAAAAAAATATTACTGCTGAACATAGTTCGGTTGAATTGTTGTTAAAACAGGAACCGGTTGAACTATGGTTGGTGGCTGTTGTTGTCCGGGATAATAGTACTGAGTTGTGTTGGATAACTGTGGCTGCTGTTGGCCGACTGTAGCTACGGCTGCTGCCGTTGCTGCTGCTGTTGCTGCTGTCGGTGGTGCTGCTATTGTTCCATATGCTGCTCCTACTACCGTTATACCTTAAAATCAATTCAAATTGATGAATCCAGTTTTCCGCTTCAATAAAGCGGTTTCACAACTCACTTTACTCTTTCAGTTCATTAATGTTTTCCCATAAAAAATATGGGTCGCAATAGTTGCAGTCAAATATGGAATTAGAGTTGTTCTAAATGTTGTGAAGACCGATTGAATGCGATTGAATGGCGCACATAATTCGCAAAACTGCATGCTTCAAAAGTAGTTGGACGACTCTACGATCTTCCGGAGTTGTTCTCGAAATCAAACTTCTTTTATCTGACTCACCATTATCTGTGCTCGGCGCAGCTGCATAGTACTGTTGCTGTTGGTGAGTTGGATATGCCGTATAGCATGCAGCGGTTCGCATTTTTTTGTCAAGTGGAACACTGAAAGTAGATGGATCCAGCTTTCTAACACTCATAAAACTTAAAATTTGAAAATCTGATTAAACCTTCTTAATGAAGGAAGTAATAGCTTACCCAGAACCTCTCACATCAGCAGCTCTTTTGTTTGATACAGCAACATTCTCAATACTTTTTTGAAGTTGTGTGTGATATTCTAAGTGCTTTTGGAGGCTGAAATAAGAGCATGACTTGTTAAAATCAGTTTTCACGAACATATCCCTTCACATTTTTACATAGAGATTTTCCTTAAACAATAATGATGATGATAAATGATGAATAAATAGAACTCGTCAGAATGATAAATGAATAAATAGAACTTTATTTAGTTTATTGACGAAGTAAAAAATACACTGAGGACAGAACCAATTAACAAGAGATTATAATAAGGCAACTTAAAGAAAGTTTAAAATGCTGGAATTATAAGAAAATACAGAAAGGCTTAGAAATAAATGAAACTAAAGCAAGTGAATCAGAAAGAAAGTTGAAGATGGTAAAATTATAAAAAAAGAAAATATATAAGGATTAAAAAACGAAGATTAGGAAAAGGTAAAATGGAACAATTAAAATGAAAATAAAAAGTAACGACAAAATTAAAGACACACATCGTAAAAACTATGGACTGAAATTCAGCAATCATTGGGTTTTTAAAAATGAAACATATCATTATTACTTTTAACGAAAATTTTCGAAATTCCAATTAAAAAATTGATTTTTTATCGATATATACAATTTCTATAAAATTTAAATATCACTGGAAATTAAGAGTTTCGGAACTAACGCTTCAACATCTGTTCCCAAGTCCTCCAAAAAGTCCAGCTTTCTTTGTGAGAAACGCAATTTATCTTCATCAGAAAGTTGGTCACTTTCAAGAACTTCATTCAATGCTTCGATCACACTTCGTTCATTGAATACTGGTGCAGTATAAGCCAAATCAACCAGCGCCAGGTAAAGCTGTGGATTGCTCTGGAAAAATTGGAATGGTATATGCATTTATTGAAACATGGAAATGATGAAATGCTCAAAGCTGAAAATAACAAAAAACAGCGAAGAGAGGAAACAGCATATTTATATGCTATTCTACTAAACTAAAAACTTTAAAGTATACCGACGTCGACACCATGTACAATAATACCACAAGTTGCAAACTTCCACTTACCTTATCACGATTTATTGCATCTCTGATGATTTTTTCAGCAAGTTTGCGATCATTCCGTGTTTTGGCATGAAATCTTGCCAGTTTTAGGGCATAAAATGCAGACAGTTTACGAGGAGTGCGTGAATCATGTATGAGACGCTCAAAACGTGATATCACAGAAGAATAGTCCGGAGAATCCCTAAAAGACAATTTTTCAATCATTTGACTGCCTAATTGGAGAAAAATTCAAAAATCGTAAATCCAAATGGATTAACTTGTTCCCTCAAACTATCCTTATATTCCAGTAAAATCTATGGCATCATTACGATAACTAGCCTATCTCCCGCTTGTCTTATCGCAAAGCGCCGCTCGATCCCAATCCTACGTAGTGCAATAACAGCATATCCTGGATAGCGATGATCAAAATTTGCCAAAATCGAATTGGCCTTCTCAAAATCACCTGTAACAATTGCATAAGATGCTATCATAAGGACTTATTAATTGTAAGGCGGAAAAGGCCTGCAGAACTTTTTGACTAACATTTCGAGGAATTCGATTTTATCTTTAGTGGATTTCATTTGCATGAGAATTAGAAAAGGCTTCATCAGCAAAACATGCAGTTACATAAAAAAGTAGTCCTCAATGAATGAATGCAGTAGACAGCTCATTTGCTGTGATCTGTTGAAATGCAACAGCATTAAACTCCTTCTGCCGAACTTAACAACATAATTCGTATTTGAGCCTGTAAACGAAGTAAACAACAACCTTCCAAGGAACCTATTTTTTTTAGAAAACTTAGAATTTCGCAGCCTGGAGAGGGCCGCATATTCAGCTCCTTAATTTTGATGTCTTGAACCAATTTTGTGGTATCGAATTGCGGAAGAATCTACTAATTTCATTTTCACAATACCAAACAGATTAAAAGAATTAATGCTTCTGTGATTATTTTCATGCGCCTATTCATTCGTTGTTATGATCATTTTTTCCCTACTCAACAGTTCAAAAACTCGTTCGAGATGGAGAATTAATTTAATTAGTTTCGCTTGAGTAGAGAAAATACTACTTGGCTTACCAAAAACTTTTTTAGAGTTTACTCACTTTTTCAAAGAATTCCCAACCAGTTATTATGAAGTAGCTGGAATGTATTACGTTACAAGGAATGGAGAGAATCTTGAGACTTCAATATAAAATGTCAGTCATTATGATATCAAGCCAGAATCCTCTTATGTCCCGACATCCTTTAAATTCGACTATTCAAAAAATAACTCAAATCCACTAATTTGCAAGGCTTGATATGATTGTGATTTTGCAACACTAATTAAAATGAAAATGGAGGTAAATGCTCAGGAAGCGGTAAATCAGCTCTTACACATTAAAAAGAGTATCTTTTTTACTAATGTAATAAAAAAAAAATCTACTAATGTAATAAAAGGGTAGTATTCAGAATCACAACGATCAATTTTAAATTCTTCGTGGATAATTTACTGATAAAAGTATACTCCTCTTACAACTTTTATAAACATTTAACAGGAATCCGATTTCAATGACTTTTTCCCATCTTTCTTTCATGAAAGAATAACTAACAGTCATTTATATCTCACTATTAAAAAACTATGGGACCACTGCTATCTGAAAAAAGGAGCACAAATCAATTTTCAAAACAGTGCTGATCAGTAATCCGAAAATATTCAGAAACTCCATGGATTTAAAATTTTATGCTATAGGAACACGCTACAGAACTAGTTGTTGAAAAAATCCATTCATATTCTAATAAACAGCTTTTAAGACTTTGAATGGTAAAAGCTGCACTTACAAAATTTCCAGGATTTCGATGAACAGCATTTCCTGACTTCAAGTCAGATTTTGCAATTTTAGTTTCGAAAAATCCGAACTTAAAGCCAGTAAAGCGTTATCCTACTTTTTTAAACAATGAAAGAGATAAACAGTAATGCTAACCAATTTATGCCATAGAACTATATCATAAAGGATCGCAGCAACTCGTCCTAGTTAATATAAAATCTTAAGAATGGATAAATATCCATCTTTAGTAAGTTATTTAATTCAATCTTATAATTAAACAAACACAAATTCTAACAGCCATTAAAGACCAAGAACTCAAAAAAATCTCAGAATCTTACACAGGCAGGAGATAGAACCTTTTTTTAAAAAGTCCATTTTTTCAGCAAGTAAAGCCGACTTGAATTATGGAATGAACTTTTTGATTTTGCCTAACTTAATCCGATTTCATTAAATTCCTTTAAATTCTAAAGTTTTCATCTTATTTAATGATTCGGTTTTTTGAAACGCCAAAAAGTTCGAGACTGTTGAACGCAAAAGACAGGAAAAAAATTCGAGTAGAAAAGGAACTGCATCTTGAGCAAGTCGAGATCCGATGAAATGCACAGTCTCAAATAAAATGATACCCTTCTCATATTTGAATGAATAAAAAGATACTTCATCTTTGATCGCATCGCATTTGAAGACTTCCATCACTTTTTTCTAAATTATTTTCTAAAAACCATACTTGCCATCTAGTTGTCGGACGAGTGGAGCACCATGAGTGAATGTTGTCTGCTGACGGTGATAATACTTTAGCTTATCATCAAAGTTAACCACATGAATGAATGAACGGAAAAAGAGATCACCGGTTCGTATATCACAAATATCACATTTGCTGTGGTTATTACCATTTTTTTCTTCGAAGGCGCTGTAGGCAAGATGAACATTCGGTTTGCGAGGTAAGTGAACTTCGGTTGCTCGACGAAAAATACTGCGAGCACGGCTGGATTCTCCAATACTCTCCACGTAACGAGCATACTGGAATTCAATTTTTGACAGAATCGTTAAGCGTGATAAATTGGTACTTAAAATAAAACTAGATGCGTGGTACATTTCACCTTAATCCACATTTCTTCATACAAAGCACAAGCGATTAGACATCTTTCGAATAGAATAATGATACGTGTGATATCACCACACTCAATTTCAAAGTCAAGGTAAGCACGCCAATTACGTAATTGAGCTCGCTCCAGTGGTTTTACATGAAAATATGGTCGTTTTATCTGAAATGAAGTTTTTTTTTTTTTTTTTTTTTTTTATAGTAATTAGTAAGAAAATTATTTGATAGTCGGATGAATTTGAAACAAACGTACATTCTCTTCAAACGCCCAACGTCGACTAACTTCCTGTTCATTCAATAAATATTTTTTACTCCGTCGTTCGAGTATTTCTGCACGTAAAACACGTAAGGCTTCTTCACAGTGCTGCACGAAATATTTTAATTAAATTAAAAATAATGAGTAAAGAACGAAGAAAGTTTTAGTAATAACTACTTCCACAGATTAAAAAAGACCTTGCGTCTCGTAAAAATCTTTTTCGGTGGCTCTTCGCCATTTTCCGGAATGTAATCCGGTGGAGAATCATCGACGCAATCTTCTAAAAGAAATAGATCACCATCAACGACATTATGCAAATCTGCTTCAACCTAAAATAAATTTTCACAGAAGATAAAAAAAGATAAAGACACAAAAGATAAAGATAATTTTTTAAATGGATGCTACTCACTTTTGCAAAAATTTCACTGTATTCATCTTGACTTACTACTCGATCTGGCTCGTTTGAATTCACGAAGGTCTTATATCTAAAAACAATGAAAATGGTTGAAAAATGGCAATAAGAAAAGCAGCAAATGGAAATTCATTTCTATCGAAAAAGTATGACGAAATCAAAGGAATTCCCCTTAATTCATTACAGAAAGAAAATATAGCGATAATAAAGACAATAACAGGTGAATAACAACGCTAACAGCTAATTCTCAAAGAAAAAACGAATCAAAATGTTACAGATCATATTAAATAAAATTTTTCATAGAAAATGATGATAGTCGGTGAGGTATCCATATAATCTTCAATATGAAAAGAACATACTTATCAAAATGGTTACTGTACAGCAAAGTGGGTATGCTTAATATCTGATCAAAAAGTGCTCCGGCTCGTACAGTTTCACCATTACTTAACTCCCAGTTAATATATTCATCCCACAGCTTATCTGAACGAAATTCCATACCGCATGCTTCGATTGCATGATCATAAATTCTGCAAATGTATCGATATTATAAATTTTGAAATGAAGCAAACATCATTAACAGTACTGTTATAAAGTTACATTCTGGTCTTTTGCACTGCATTCTCTTGATGTTGAACGATTTCTTTAATGAAAGCAATGTAATGAAGCCAAAGATCAACACTCAGTGGTATAGCCGTGACCCCACGTTCATAAACCTGCAAATATGCTTTCATTTTGAGTTAATAATGTTAATCAATCTTAACTGTTTCCACTTATCTTCCTAGTTAATTTCACAACATTATATAAAATAATAAACGAAAAATAATAATAAACATGATTAAACAAACATAAAATATATAATAAAGAAAAATAAAAATAATGAACAGAAGATGAGGATAATAGAGAGTTAAAAACTAGACAGCAGTAAGATAAAAGGTATCGTGTGCCAAAATTACAACTTACCTCAGTGCAGCGATCGTAGTGTTTATGACGACGTTCAAATTCAGCATATTTTCTCCAATATCCGTAGCAATACGGATATCTCTTAAAAAAGTCATCATATGCTTCACGAGCAGCTTTTGTTTCATCCTGAAATAATTCAATACGGGTAATTTTCGGAATACTATATCTATATCATTGGTTATAAACCGTTGATAATGTTGAAAAAACATCAGAAATATTATGATCGAAAACTAAGATTTCCTATAGGATCATAAAAACTAAGTCTCAAATCATAAAAGCACTCAGTAAAATGAACCAGGTAAATCTATCGAAATTTTAGCATAGACATACTAAGAAGAGTCGATTTATGTCTACTTTTCACGACTGCTTAGGCAAAATATACTTCAAATCTATGTAACTTAAACAACTCTTACAAGTTGTTCGATGTATTGCAGAAGATGAGTCCAAGCATCAAAATTTCTTGAATCATCTTTTAGTGGTTTCCAACAAAGTTTCAACAAATCTGTCGTTTCTCGATCACTCGAACGACTTCTGCTAAAATAATTTTCTTTACCAATTCCTAAATAATAAAAAACAAAGGTCAATTTAAGTATTTTATACTAGTGTATCACATATTTCACGGAGCATTTCATAGAAATTTAAAAGCTCTTAATGTAAAGCGAACTTTAAGCGAAGAAGAAAAGAAGACATCCATAACCGAGAATTTCCTTAACGACACTGTTAAACTCTGAATTTCAAATCTCAGTGTAAGAAAAAAGATTTCGTGCCAAAGTTGAATGGAGATATTTCATTATTTCTTTTTTTGCACTTAAGAAAGCTTATACTGTTGTTCTCATGCGTTTCTAAAATCTTCAACTGTCTATTTGTTGCCTTCCACATCTTCAACCACTCGTGTTTTCTAAAACCTAAACCCCTATTATTGTGACTTATTACAGGAAAGTTTATTATTTATTTAATAAAAAAAATCTGATACCTCACGAATCTTGGTAGTAAAGTATGCAGGTTAGAATCAGTCAGTTGTAGACGTCTCTTAATTACTTATGGAAAGTAAGAAATTTTGACTTATTTAACAATAAAATTAAGCGCACCTTCGACGATCATGGTGATGGCTTCGACTTCTCGTACGACCACGTCGCCTGCTATGACTACGGCCACGATGACCACTATTAGGACTTCGACTACGACTACGGCTACGACTTTTGCTAGAACTTTCACTCCGACTTCGACCACGACCCATTTTTTCCAGCTTCTTCGTTAGCTTTTAACTGAAAAGTAAGACTCAGAAAAAAAAATTACGCGTCGCTTCGTGCGTATACTCATACTCTTAATAAACGCGATAAATTGATACACGTAATTCCACGTAAAATAATCTGAATAGCTAGATCAAAAAAAAATCAATATTATAAAACTCAGTTTCATATGGAAGTTCAATACATAAAATTACTTATTTGATGATGACTGAAGATTCACACAGTCAAACACGTGGAAGAATAGATGCAAGAAGAAGAAGAATCTAAAATACGAAAAGCGCAAAGGAATATGTATGAAGTGCCCAGCACCAGGCCTCTGTAGTTGCATAGCGTCGCCTATGCAATATGATTCCCTTATTGGAGTGGAAACAACGTCAAGTCGTTGTCGTCGTGTCGTGTCGTGCTGAAGTGTCGGTTGTCTGCATGGATGTAATGTTGGGTGCTCTATCATTGTCCATTCAAGCTTAATTTCAGAATGGCCACAAGTCTGTTCACATCTCTCCCATTCACTATATTACAGTTTTAAGTGTTGTAACAAAGTTTGAAAAATACATTTGTATTGACAATTATTGCATTTTTGCATAAACTTACATTCCTGTTGTTGTAAGATTTCTGGAGTAATAACCATCTGGCAAGTGAGATAACCAAAACTATCTAGTCGATCGGACATAATAGTTGACGATGACGCGTTTTACATTTCCGCAGAGTAATGATATGATATTATCAGAAGGATCAAAACAAGTTGCTTTTATATGGGTGTTTAATACCAAAGCGATGAGATGTTAGACGTGTATGTGTAGATAAGCTGAAATGAGAGGGACGAAGACAGTGTTCATGTTTTGAGTATGCTGGGACGATGCTTTATCCCTCGAAGCGTTTTCAAATCAGCTTTCCAAAAAACGAGAATGCTGAGGTAGAGAATTCCCACACCTATTGCAGGGGGAACAAACTTTGGTTTGTTAGTAAGGTCAGAGGCGCAACACAGAGATACCTACATTTTAGATTAAATGTCATGTTTATTGGAAATATTAGATGAAAAGTGAAGCCATCAGAACTAAGTTCAATCGAAAGAGAAAAGGAAGCTGTAGCTAGCTTAGATTAGTTTGAACAAGATGTTAGATGATCGTATCCATTTCTATTCTCTCTCCTGTGTTTTGAGAAAAAGTAGGCGAATTGAATGGCTTCTTTAGTGCCACCTGTGGCAGTGTATTGAGCTGATATATTTATCGATCATGTTGTGTACTTTTCCTAACCGATACGTCCTTAGTGCATATGTGATATTTCATTAATTCCAGTGCCTACAACTCCACATACAGTTTTCTGTAACTAAAGGACTGTATGATTTATTCGTTATTCCAGTATCCAAAACAAAAGTGTAAGGATGTTTTACGTTTTGATTAGATACAATCGCAGTAATCCAATTAAACAAGTTTAAGCATTTTGAGAGGGAGAGATTTTGATTGACTGAAATTTCTCTAGAGGTCATTCTCAGAGTAAAAATATCAGAAACTTCAATTTGTAAAAGGAAGAATATGTGTTATGCATTGCGTGAGAGAGCCAACAAAGAAGTTAATCGAGAAATCAGTTTGACTAAATGATTATTATGAGTGGATAAAACGAACGAATGAATATCTTCTCTCCATTTTCATCCTATTCCATTGCATGGCGAATGAGGGATTGTTAGAAGGGGAAAAAAGAAAAGGGGAATAATGTTGACGAACTGAGGGAAGCGACAGCAATGATTACCGATGGTTAGGGAAATGGAAATCAATAGAAGCTGACATTGTTGTTGTGTGATGTTTTCATCATATTTCGTATTTTCTCCTAGAAGTTGGTGAATTTATGCACTTTTCTGTCGATCTTAAATGGTTGTTCTTTGGAATTTTTTTTAAATCCCCAGTTGCTAAACTGAGATGTTCGATAAGATTTTCTTAGATCATACCGTATTCTTTGGCGTAAAAATTTAAAAAGAAATGTCGCTTAATATTTGGGAGTGACATGTAATATTTGTTTATAAGTCGTAAAGAGCTATAAAATGGGTAGGAATGATCTAAAGTGGGTGAGTCTTCAAGGTGTCACTGATTTTGCTTTCGCCAATGCTTAATTTGGAATTCATTTTTTACTGCTATTAAGGGGTAGTAAAAAATGTTGTTTGTTTTAAGTTAAATATGTGAGGTTGCATAAATTGATGGATTTAACCTTGATCAGATCTTGACGTTTCTTTGTTCGATTCACATTTTCAGATTTCAAATTAATTCATTGGGCTTAACAGATTATATTATATATCGCTTCCATTGCTTTTTAATGGCAGAAAACGAGGCTAAAGCCCGGAAGAAGTTGGAGGACGCGGAAAAAAAGGCAAAGGGTGGAAGTGGATTTTTTAGTGGTTTATTTGGCAGTGCTAAGGCAGAAGAAGCTGCCGATCTTTTCGTGCAAGTTAGTATTTTGCAGTTCTTCGCCACTCAAAGTTTGCACGAACTTGCTGTTTTGCTAGGAATTTGTCAGTATTTGAATCCGAACTTGTTTTTCTTGTCACAAAAACTTGCTGAATTCGTTTCTAAAAGGATGCACTTTTGGAATTTGGATTCCACATATATCTTTTTAATCCTTTGCACTTAGATTCGTGTAGTTCAGTTATTTTGCGATACTTTTTAATTTGTCTTACGTTTAGATTTGATTTTGTAGTTTCCTATGGAAAGTTCTAGGATGATTCAGAAACCGTATTAATATGCGAAGAAAATGGCTGTGGAATGGGTTTTCATGATGTCGCCGCTTTTGAAGACCATTATGAGCGGTTTCATAGATATCAGTGTGCTGTATGTGGACGGCAATTTCCAAATACACATTGCCTAGAAATTCATGCTGACGAGAATCACTGTTCGATTTTTAAGATCAAAAGAGATCGTAATCCTTCCACAGCTCTGTTTCGATGTTACGAAGTCTCTTGTTCCCAAATATATGCAAGTCCGGAAAAAAGGAATTGTCACTCTGAAGAGATGCATGGTATTAGAGATCCTTCACAATTTATGAGGAGGAAGTTGCCACGGAAAGAACTTGTAGTAGAACAAATGAACGAAGTCAGCACTGTTAGCAGCAATCATCCTCGAACACTACGAAGAATAGTTTTTGGCAATGAACAGAAGGAGCCAACTTTTGAAATTAGAAGAACGAAAGTTCACACAGACCAATGAGTAATGCAAATATATGAAGGAAGTTGCTGATCACTGACTATCCGTAGTATTTGTAATATGCTACCAGTTGTTGAGTAAAATTAAGTTTACCTGTGTGAGTGAAATCAGTCGTGAGTTAATTCTGTTGCTGTCGTGATAGTGTTATTGAGCTGGATGATTTTATAAGTTGTTCAGGCAGTGTATAAAATAAATAATTGCATGTTAAAGATTTTTCTGCAAAATGAGGTGCAAAGAAGCCACATAAAAAAGATGTTTTATTTACTATTCTTATTGGATGATTTACTATTCTTCTAATTATACATACAATCCATATTGTACCTTTCTATTCATTTAATAAAATTAATGTGGTTGATGGTTGAGGCTAATATCGAAAAAAAAAAAGCAAGTTCGGAACAAATATGTTTTGTTCAATGCTTTTGGAGATTATAACTCTAGGAGGATTCAGTAGACTTGATATGAGACTTTTTTGATTGCTGTTTTGGATGGAAGTACACCAGTTGTGTTGCATTTTAATAATTAAGGCAGGGAATTTGTTCAAAATATCAAAATTATGGAGAGAAGCAGGTGATGCATTTGTGAGATCCGCAGAATTACATGCAGCAGCTACTGATCGAAAGCACGATGCAGCTTCAAATTATGCCGAAGCGGCTAATTGTTATCGGAAAGTTAATCCACAGGTAAACTTTTTGCGTTGTTTTTCCATCTCTTTGATTAGTGATTAATTAGCAATCTGCATGGTAATCCAAATTTTTCCAATAGATATAAGGTTGTCAATTTGAAATAATAGTATGCTTTTCATTTCATCGAATATTTTGGTTCTTGCTATGAACATGGCTTTCTAAATAAACTTCCTATAACTGTTATTTTTTTTTCTTGTTTGTTCAAAGTTTTGTATATTTTTGTTAACTTTAAGTAAGTGAGTGATTACGGATTATTAATTTAAACTAAAGTGGTGCTTTTGTAAGTGAATGTGACATTCTTAACAGAGATTATCCTTATGCACATTCAAATGCATGTATGTTGTAAAAGTATTCATTTTTAAAGAGAGATCGATTTCTCGTCAATGTTGCATTCCTTCCTTTTCTGATAGCGTTAAATCCTTAGAGAGGACGAAGACTCAGATTTCGTGGTGATGCTAAACTGATGTAGATTCGTTTCGTATATTCTAAGTCAGTAATCTGTCTCCCTCTTGATGTTATTATTAATTTTATGGTTTTAAAACTGATATGAAGTCATTGTTATGAATAACTTATTATGAAACATTGTGAAAAATTCAAAATAAGTTTTGTACAAATTTACAGAATAGTACATTGAAGCTGAAACGAAATTCAATAAAGCAATGTATTTGCAGCAAGCAATTGATTGCTTAATGAAGACTGCTGAAACATACACGGATATGGGTCGTTTTAACATGGCTGCTAAATATCATTGCACAATGGCCGAAATTTTTGAAAGTGAAGCTCCAGATATGACACAGGCCATGACTCATTATCAGGCATGATTTTTATATTGCTCAGCTTTTTTTTTATTAGTGCAACAGAAATTCCTTTCGGATCACATCGGTTTACATGTAAGTACTTCCAATTTTTCAGGAGGCAGCTGATTTTTATAAAGGTGAAGAAAGCCGAAGTTCAGCTACTAAGTGCATGATTAAAGTTGCACAGGTAATTTCCACTATTTTTCTACATTGACCACCTCCGCTTCAAAATTAAATGCTTTTAATCTTCTTTGGTCTTCTTTGTCTTTGAAACGATAACCAAATACTTGATTTCTACCTTCATAATTATTCTTTTCTTAAGCAGTTTTTATGCCATTTTCAGTATGCTGCACAACTGGAAGATTATAAAAGGGCAATCAAAATTTTCGAAGAGGTAGCTACTTGGGAAGCCGATCATCCGACCTTAAAATATGCTGCAAAAAATCACTTTTTTCAAGCTCTTCTTTGCCACCTTTGCTTTGACTTGGTTAGTTTCTTTTTCATTATTTTAGAGGAAACATGAAAATGACTTTGGCGACATGAGTGACTCAGTTTGCATAAAAAGCATAAATTGAAAACATATTTTATTTTCCTCAGAACTAGTGAGAACAATCTATAAGTGTGAAACAGGGAAATTTGGAGATGATGTGCTGTAATATATTTTAGTAATACAGAAAACATTACGGTGTTACCCGTGATTAATTATAATGAAATAAAATTTTTAATCTAGAATGGAGTTTTTGTGACTAGTATAATATTACGAAGGAATTTTGCTCATTTTAAGTATTATACTAATATAGCTAGTTCTTATTTGATTACTTTTTTTTTACCTCTGTTGTTTAATTGTTAAAATTTTTAGCTAGACACTCAGAATGCGCTAAAACGCTACGAAGAAATTTCTCCGTCATTTGTCGATTCACGAGAATATAAACTTATCAAGTTTGTCTCTGTCATCATTGTTGGGAGTTTTCGTTATATTCATTTAATGCAGCTTGGTCTGTTTGTTATATTTCAATATTTTAAACTTTATTTCTCAAGTTACTTTTCTCCTGTTGTTTTCAGTGAATTAATTTCGTGTTTGGAAGATAGAAATCAAGTCAAGTTCACGGAAGTGGTAAAAGCTTTTGACAAAATATCACGTTTGGATCAGTGGCACACATCGCTTTTGGTTAAAATCAAAAGATCATGTGGTGATGAAGATGATGATGATCTTAAATGATCTTGTTTTATTCATTGTTCATAAAATATTAATCACTTATTCTATTTCAATTCCAGAATATTGACAACATAATTTAAGGAAGAATTGTAACTTCTTTCAATAGTTTGTGTTTTTGAAAATTTCCATAATCATTCAAAAATTTGTGGTTGAAGTGGAAATTTTAAGCTATTACTGTTCATCTGACTGATTGTGTTGAAAAATGTATTGTGAAGAAACATTAGTTTGCAAATTGCTAATATATGAAATGTTCTGCAGTATAATTTTTATCTTTTCTAAATACTTGTTAAATATTGGTTTGTTTTATCCCTGTAGGAAATTTTGACCAGCTTGATATCTTTCCAATTCACAAATCTCCCAAACAACTCAAAATTTAAAGTTCACAAAACTTGGTGACACATCATAAACCCAAGAATAATACTACTGTTATAATGTCTCTTTCTCATCCATAATGCTTTCTTGATTGTAGTTCGATGACGCTTCGTAATATTTATGTATATATGGTTTTGCTTCGATTGTATGTGGAAATGTCTAAGATTAACATCATTTTGAAACCAAATAAGGTTGATTCTTTCTATTCCAGTGTTTAAAGATGACAATTCAGTTCATTGGTGCAGATTTCAAAATTATAGATTTTCATTTAGACATTGATTTTGGTCTACCAGTGAGAAATATTACAGTATGCCCGAAGAAATGTCCATTTGCATTGAAATCCGGGTAAGATTGCTAATGTCTCTTTTATTCATAAAGTTAAAGGGAAGAGAATGATGTTTTGAAATTATTTGTGAAACATGGTATATAATCACGGGAATTGTTGAATATGCTGTTTAATTTTGATATTTCTAATAATTCAGTGCATTCACGTATGAAACATTGGCGAGTATACGCCAGCAAAGAGAGATGGGAATGGGCTTGAAATGAAAACGTTGGGTGAGTTTCATGCAAAATCACAAGTCGTCCCTTAATTTGAAATGCAATTTTTGTACCCTTACTTAAGCCTGGATGCTATTTTTCTTAGCTATGTTGCATGGGACTGTTCTTAACTGCGGTGTGATATTGATAGAAGAATTTATTAAAATAAGATTATTTTCAGATAGAAAGACTAGTAGAAGGGAGAGAAAAACTGAGAATTAACTTTGAAATTGAGAAAATAGAAAAATTATTTTTTAAGCCGAAATAGAAATGTATGCAGCAAAAGAAGTCCCAGTTATTACATTTTATTTATTAAGAAAAGTGCTGTGCAAAAGATTTCCCCTCCTGTATGTTTTGAGTGAAATCTTTCCAAATTGAATTTGAAAGCATAAAAAAGTTTGATGAACACAAATAAAGGGCTTAAGATTTCTTGAACTGGGTGTTACTCATCGTTTTTATTTCAAACCCATTCTTTCCTCCAAACTTCCTTGATAATATCCCCAAATTTCATATCTCAATTCGCTGAGAAAATTAAAAGCAGCGAACATTAGGAGTTTGCTTATTACGAAATGATTTATTATAAAAGACTTTTGGTTGCGTTGGTTAAATAAATTAGGTTGATTGGAATTTTGGATTTATTTAAAAAAATCGGATTTAAATCACTAAGCTGCACAAATCATTGGCATGTAACCAGCGCTACTCCGTTGATTTGAAGCTGAGTTCATTTAAAACGATATTCTAATTCGATAAAATTCAAATAGCAGCCTCAGAAGAAACTCAAGCTATTGAGCGCTAAGCTCCCTGATTTAGAACTTTTGACTACCGCACTTAAAACCATGCAGATTTTATGATTTGATGCAAAGAGCAAGTCATGGTTGATGTCCTATGGGTTATCCTGCACAAAATTCCTCATCCTTGATACTATCATTTCTCTTTCCCGTATCTAGTATTTCACATAACTGGCATTTGAAAAAATTTAAATCTAGTTTCTTTCTCAGTACCTCTTCTCGCTTCTGTTTCTACTTTCTCACCCTTCCACACTTTTCTTGTCCATGCCTGTGTATTATGGTGTATGACTTATGTCAGTAATACAGAATGAGAAAAAAATCCATCTGGTCGATCAAAACTTGGTCTACACAAGAGAAGAATATGTAATTTATTCATACAATAAAAAATCAAGACAATCATTTCATTTGATATGCAGATCTATATCCGCAAGTTTAAGCTATTAGGACGACTTCAATTCTTGTTTCTTTTTCTAACTGTTACTTTTTTTCCTGCTTTTATCTATCTTTTCCCGATATCCTTGAATTTTTTTGCACTGGATTTATACAGTTTGAATACTGAGCATGATATCAGCGTTTTTTCAATAAATCTGAAGTTATAAACAATTTGGAAAATTTTACAGGAAAAAATTCATTTTTTCAAAGCATAAATGATGGTTTCTGGAAGATTTTGGATCTAACGAAATTGAATTAAAGCGCTATATCACGGTAGAGTTAGGAATAAGATTACAGATACTCCTATACTGTGCTTGTCATTCAATTATCTCTAGTTGCAATCCTAAGGAGGAGCACATTTTAAAGAAAGTTCATTCCTGAAATGACTGATTTTCTCAGCTTGCAAAGGAGCAAATTTCTTCACTGCCCTTTCATATTTTTGAGTACACGAAAGTAATACTCGATCGTGATAAAAGATGACACGGTTCCTATAGAATTCTTGCAGTTCTGTGACATCCCTAATATTTTCCAAGCGAAGCGCATGCATCAATGCTGACTGAAATTTTTGGAATTATTTCCTTTGCTTGCGATTTTATTCACTGGGTAACCACTATACGTACCCAAACAGATTAAACATCTAAATGTTTTAACAAGCCGTGATATTACTGCCATCGAAGAGTAAGCTGTCTATATTAACAACTGAAAGGATAAACAGAAACTCTAACAGTTTGTAATCTTTTCAAGCATATAGCGCATTCCTGATCAAACTTTAATTTTTCTAATTTTAAATTTTTGCACCCGCAATGTGGCAAAAAAATGAAGCAGCCGAGAAAATGGGAAAGAAATATTTCCTTCCATTTTTATAAAATTAGAAATACAAAGTGACATACAGGGAATGCAGTTTCTCTACCCTCGACTCGGCGCTGGTGTGAAAGATTCAAGTTAATACACATTCGTTTTATTCTCGCAGCAATAATCCGTGATATGATATATGTCACAGATGATTCCATTTCTGAATGAGATTTTTCAATAACATACTTCAACGGCTCACTATCAAGTAGCAAGCTAAAATATTAGGTGTTAAAAAGCAATGTTTGTTAAATTACATTCAGGCAGAAATTCCACCATTAATGTGTTGTTAAGGAGTACTTTGAAGCATTAACCTACTAATAAAACCTAAATGAGCAGCTAAAACAGCCACCGCTTTTCTGAGCAATAATTGCATATTCTCTTCCGAAAACTCATCCTCCATATCTTGCCTGCAATTCTTGCAACTTTTTAAAACACGTAGGAAAAAAGAAAGTGTTTTAACATTCAATTTTGCTTTTACCAAAAGATTTCAGAACATCCCTTTCTTCTTTTTCAAAAGTATAGAAGTATTCCAAAACACTTACGAGTTAGGCAGTTTTAATTTAACGGGACTGAATATAGGTAATGGTGGCGGTGGTCCCATTCTTACCCGATAGCAATTAATTTTGCGATTATACCACAGCAGTGAAATGGTATGCATTACCAATGGATCGAAATGAATCCTACAGTGAAAATTTGCACCGTAAAAATATTTCACTTAACACAATGCAGAGAGACATAACTAAATGATAACACTAAAACATGGTCCTTTAAAACAAAAAACTTACTCAACAACCTTACGTTTCTTTGTAGTTTCAGTTGAGTTGAATAGTTTGTTTTGTTTACTAAAACCATCTGAAATATACAATTACTCTTTGAACGACAATTGGAAGCATTATGAATTTTAAAAAAAATGCAATTTAGAACCGTGCCTGAAAAAATTTAGCAGATTTCAAAGTCCTGAAACCGTTAGCAAGAAACCAATACTGAGAAATGTAGAAAACCAACCAACAACAGATTTGGACGGAGGTACAGCAGTCTCGAGTTCTCGGATCATCACTTCAGGCCTGACCAACAACAGAAAATCTTGCAGAGACCTTAAAAAAGTGAAGAAAGTGAATCAGAGGGAGAGAGTTAGAGAAAATGATCCATTCAAGTGCAAATATAAGTACCCGCATGGATGCAATGTCTCCTGAAATTAACAACGAGACTGATACACCGACTATTTTGAATGGACAGGATGAAACCAGGAAGGTATAGTTGCTGAAATCAAATATTTCAGTAACTGTACCCCTTTCTCCCCTCGTCATTGTACCATTGTACTCTAATTCTCAGCCAAGAAACTTCGTTGGTGTTACAAAACAAGAAAGATAATAGTCCTTGTCCAGGTAAAATGCATTTTACATACTTCAATTTATTTAACTGTTGCAAATTGCAAATGAAATTTTTAATTATGAACTGAAGCCAATGTGCAGACATCGTACATTTAAGCAATCCGGATAAATAAAACTATATAGACAGAGACTGTATGTTCAAGCAATGCCAATGAATATAAATGTGTCAAATTAATAAAATTAAAACTAAGAACCTGAATCAAGTAGAATACACTAATATGGGCAAAATTCGAAACACAATAAACTTAATTTTATATTATAGGATCTGCACTACTGCTTAGTAAAGTATGATAAGAGCAGTATATATTTTCCCTATAAAATATACAATTAGCAGAAAAAAAAATGAGACTAACAAAACTGCTGAATTCGAAGATTTGAACATATTAGAGAATTATAAAGGTCATAAAACAAATTAGATTTAAACTAAGTCAATATATGGATTGAAGAGTAAAAAATATCAAACATCGATGGCTGAATATGGAAATATGGGGGTCACAGAAGAAGGATCAAATAAATGAAACTAACTGAAGCAAAAAAAAAGGACATAAAAACTAGGTTAATAATATACATTTTAGACGTTTCATACATACTCCGCATATCGCTAAAGGAATTTCAAATAAGATCATCT